GATCTCCGGCGGCGGCGCTCGGTGGCGGAGGCGGAGGACTCGTCCTCGTCATCTCCGGCGACGGCGGAGCTGCAGGAGGAGAAGTTGGTCATGCAGTCATCGAAGTGACCGCGGACGAACTCCTCGAGGCCTCGCCTGAAGTCGAGATCGACGTCCTGCTTAATTCGGTGATTCGCCATTGATTTCGATTTTGATACTTTTGGAACCCTAAAAATCACATTTTGGGTTGGGAAAATTTGGGGGAGATTTTGATTTTGAGATGATAAGGAAATTTGATAAAGTTACGCATTTTTATTTTGGAATATGGGGATTGTGGGGGCAATATTGTGGGGGGAAATGAGGGAAAGTGGGAGTGAGGATAGTCTTGACATTTTGAGGACAATTGCTTGACATCCACGTCAGTACCTTGAGCTTTACTTGCCACGTGGAATTGTCTTTTCTATGCGGACTTTTCCTGTGTTTTGGTAATTTCGTAGGTAAATAAGGGCCGTTTGGTTGGTTTTCTAAAATCAAAGAAAAGAAAATCGGTACAAGAAAATTAATAAAATAATATTTTTATTCATTTTCATCCCTAAAATTCACCCACAACATCTAATAAAATATTATTTTTATCCTTCAACTCATCTCATTTCTTATCTTTAAAAATAAACCAAACACAAGAAATGTGTCACATCATCCAACTCACCACATCTAATCTTATCTCATTTTTAAAAATCACACACATCATCCAATAATATTGTGACAACTCATCTCATCTCATTAAACATTCATTTCCATCCATTTACTCAAAAAAAACAAGAAATTGGTTTCCTTAAGTATGCAATAATATACCTCCAACTCATCACATCTCATCTATTTTCTTATTTTTAAAAATGAACCAAACACAAACAACCTCAAAACATCATCTAATAATATATCTCCAATTCATTTCCTTATTTTTTTAACCAACCAAATAACCTCAAAACAATTTTTTTTTAAATCATTCACATCATCCAATAATAAGGTGACAACTCATCTCATCTCATCTCCTATTCTATAATTTTCTTCTTTTTTAAACCAACCAAACAACCTCAAAACAATTATTATAGGAAATAGGTTTCCTATTATTTGATTTCCCAAATTATTTTGCGAAACGAACAGCCCCTAAACATTTTACTAAATGGTCAAGAAATTTCGACTGTATTTTGTTTTATTTAATCGTGTCATAAATTCACATGTACTTTTACCATGAATTTATTAGTGTCCAACGAAAAGGTGTTTGAGATTTTTTTTTTTTTTAGAAAAAAATTTAATACGGTAGCTTTTTTTTTCTTTTCTATACTTATTTAACTTGTTTTATCGTTGAAGCTATCACTAATTCGACAATTACTCCGAATAAGTAGGTTTGGACCGTTGCCTTTTGATTATTTATATAACCAACAATTGCATCTCGTTTAAGTCTATAAAAATTACATTAGCCGATTAACAAAACGCTTGGACACAATTTATCAAAAACTCCTAACCCTAATCTAGATCATTTTCAACTTTGGGGCTGTTTGGATAGGTTTTTTTGGGTGGTAAAAAAAAGAGAAAGCTGCCAAAAATGTCAGCTTTTTGACAGCTTTCCCTCAAAATCATATTTTTACTACCAAAAAAGCTGACATTTTTTACCGCTTTCACCACTTTTACCAAAAAAAGGAACCAAACAGCCCCTTATGACAAATCGCCTCAGCATGTGGGTCATAACTCCACAAATCAATTCTTAATGTTTGAATCCCCTCCGGTATATATCAAAAAGTAGCATGATTGTTTCTTTGTCCAGGTGATTGTTGCAAAAAGAAAAAGAAAATTAATGCAATACATGAAAGATACACCAAGTGCTAGATTTTGAAATGAATAATACATGTCTATTAAATTAGATATATACAATCATAATGAAAAGTAGCGGGTACTCCATCATATCATTTGCAATGATAAGAGCCCAAATCCTTTTTCATTTGTAGTTGAAGTTCCATGAAACCACTCAGAAATGCATCTAGCGAAGGAGGACCACAAAGAAAGAAAAGGTTTTTTTTTTTTTTTTTAAAAAACATGAGATAAGACATTCTATTGCCATCATCTAGCTGAACCAAGCCCTACAGTGGGTCATCATCATCCACATAAAACCCACTTTCTCTCCGAGAAGAACGAGAGCCGTGTGATTAGAATCCAAAGGCACCGATGAAAACTAAACAAACAAAAAAGCTTGCAAAGAAAATAAAAGTACCAACCGCTACTGATTTAACAAAGACGAGGATGGTTAGTACTTTGTTAGTGATGTTTGACTGTTGGGGGTTTGGGAGAAAGTGTGAGTTGGGGAAGGTAGAGGCTGTTCTCTTACTCTTACGTCTCTTAACCTAATGGGAAGCTGCACTGCATGTTTCAATATGATGTATGTAACTAGAAATTCTGAGTAGAAGAGATGAAGTAAACTAATTAAATTTTCTTTCACAGTTTAATTAGTTATTTGGTGTGTGATGTAATGTGTATATACATACTTTAATGAAACAAGCTCATTTACATTGTTGAACCGCAAAACCAAGCGCCTTACCTTCTCATGAAGCAAGAGATCTCCAAAAAAAAAAAAGGAAATGATGGATATAATGTGACACCTCATGTTGTTAAATGATCTATCAAGAAAATAAACATGTTGTGAAACCCAACACATCTGGTCATATATTGACCTAGTCACGTATTGGCGGCTCATTTAACAAAATGTGACCGGCTCGCAACCATCAAATCCAACAAAAAAATGTATTATTAATGCGTACATGTATATAAAGACAAAATTAAATTTCTGTAGATTTGGATTAAAAAAATCCTATAGAAATATCACATGAGAAGAAAGAAGAAGGAAATGACATCTGACATGTTAGTGCGATTACCCTTTGTAGTCATTATCATTTGTGGTCATAAGTACATTGATAGACAATATTAATTGCAACGATAAACATTGTGACATGCATAACAAAATTGGTGATATGTCAGGTATTCACCGCTTCTTACTCCCTATGTATGGTGCTTTGTAGAGAAGACCTTCTTTTCCCCCCCTTCCCTTTGGATTCAAAAGTATTTAATTGAATGCCGTGTAGCTTTCTGTAAAGGTACGTGTACCCCTCCCTCTCTCCCTGCATGATTGACTAAAAACCAGCATGCCTTGGTACAATAATAACAAGGTTCAGATTATTACTTAAGACTTGCTTAATTTAACATATAAACTAATGATCACTGTTGCTTTATATGTCATAATCTCTTGCTTTTATTTTTCCTTGACTAAACTTTTAGGTTCCCTTCTCCACTGTACTCTCTTTCCTTTCGGCTCTCTGTCTAATTTGCCACATGTCGGCATTTGGCGACACTCACACAAGTCCTGCGTACTCTAGACTTTAATAACATGGGAGGGAGAAAAACAAGAAAAGAAAAGATCTAACCACTTTTTACTAGTAGAGATGTGACGAGTAACTTGGGATTAAAGAGGAGAAAAGTAGGGGGAAATGGAAAGAGCATCGATCCCATGTTTGTTTGCTAAGACTCATCACCAAACATCATCATGATTCCTGTGATGAGTCATGTCTGTCATTGAAATGGCAGCACTAACCAGCTCTTCAGGCCATCTCCACCATGCAATTTGAGATATTAGTTTTTGAAAGAAAGAACTTTGATGCACTTGTCAGGGTGAACACATTTAATCAATTTCAATGAACAGTGTAAGTTAAATTGGTTCTTAAGCTTACATTACTTGGCCCATAACCGCCGCGCCCCCCACCCCACCCCTCAACCATTCCAGATCTCGACCGCAGGAACAATTTCTGTTGAGCATAATTAGTATAGTTAAGGGGCTTAATTTGGTAAGATGAGTTTATAGGGCCGTATAATAAGCTCATAGCATTATCTCATCTATTGGTAATTAGGCAGTTTCAATAATATTTTATAGCAATGGCTAGCAGAGCCTGCTCACCGCAAACCCTAAGTCCGGCCGCCCCGCCTCTCGCTGTCCCCGCCTCGGAGCAAAGCCGCCCCTACCCCCGCCTTAGCCGCCCCCTCGCTGGCACGCCCCCCTTAGCCCCCCGCCCCCACCCCGTCCCGCCCCCCCGCGCGCGGATCTCGAACGCCCCCCTCGCGCCCAACATCGCGCCAAAACCCTAACCCTATGATTTGTAGCTTGGATACCCTCAACATCTCAGTCATAGAAATGATGAGAGGAGCTTGTTCGATTCCCTCGACATTTCAGTCCTAGAACTGATGAGAGGAAAAGTGTATATCTCACGGTGTTGAGATATATCTCTGTCGATTCTTGTTTCCTTTGAGAAACAAGAATTTAGTTGAAATCTTACTCTTGTTGTGCAGCAGAAGTGCTGCCGAAATTTTTCACTGCACACAACAAGAGTTAGAAGAGAAGGAGGACATGTGCTTGATCTAAAGCCTGATCGATGGAGGAGATCATCAAGAAGTTGAACCACGCGGAGGTCTCAACTTTGATGCAGTTGATGAAGTTGTCGGCTGGTGAGCGCACGACAAGACCATCGACGAAGTTGGAACTTCCACCCATCGATCTGAAGCTCGATGGACCAGCTACTTACCTGAGCTGGTCACGGCGGGGGGGGGGATATTTGACAGGAGAGAAGACAGAGCCGGCTGAGGGCTCGGCAGGGAGAGATGAGTGGAAGTCCACTCATATGTTGGTGTACATCTGGCTCCTCAAC